TCGCAACCTGTTCGGGACGCCATACAAGGTCAAAGGGACAAAACTGATATTGGTCTCGCTCTGCAGAAATACACGTATATATTGCATGTCCGTCACAGTCTACGTGTGTTACGTGCAAAATACGGCACACATGAACACACACAAGACTGTACACACACAGTATATCATCACGAAAATCAGTTCCATATCATGGAGCGAATCTAGTTATTGTATATCTAATCTATAGCGAATCTAGTTATTTCCAGATTATTGTTTTTATAATTTTATTTGTCACCGCGTGGTTTTAACTTTTCTCCACACTCAAACTTGTTGGTTTAATACATTAATTTCCTTATAACGGCAACAATTAGCCTACTTATAAGTGGCAACAAATGTGGATGAATGTGAATTATTCAGGAACGTACGACTTACTCTTCGAGGATACAAAAAAAAAATCGAGATTCTGCATTAGCTTCTCAACAAAATTGAGATATTTAGAAACAGTTGGCTTTCCTATTTAATTATAATGACTAAAGTCTAAACTGCAAACCTGACAAACATGTATATTAGATATTAGCCTGACAGGAGCTTAGAAATGGGTTGTTTGACAGTAAACAGGACACAGATTTAGATTTCATAGACCTCGGATCTCCAGTCAGACTCTCGCTCACACAGGGACCCTCAATATAGAAAAAGCAGGATGTTCTCTGTAGCACTTTGACATAATATTCATTTCCCTTAGTTTAATACTTAACAGATCCTTAGCAAATATTCCTTCAGTTTATGAAAATGTCATGGGGGGGGGGATTTTAAAGAGAACCCTGAGTACCTTCAGAAGAAAGCTTAGTAAGTTCTTAAAACCATGCATTTATTAAAGAAAGATGCATGTTTCAGGGGGAGAAATGTCCAATCATGTGTAATCAAAAAGAAAATCTTTTAAAAAGTTATTTTATTTGAAATTATTTAAATACAAATAATATATATTTTCCATTTACAATGAGTTTTCTTGTAAACAAAAGTGGCAGATACTATTTACTAGGCAATTCACCCCTTTTTCTGGCCAGTGAGTTTCTCTGTGTGTGTATGAAGAGATGATTTCTCATAATCTGCGCACTTTAGTCTCAGCTTTCAGAACACAGCATGAATTATGAGGCTACAATCTTTTTTAGAACTATAATACTAAAATGTCTATTTATCTGTAAAACTGTTATAATTTTATAAAACTGGTTGAGAATGTGTTACATGCAACCAGAATGACACTTTCCCTCTGTCAGTAAAGATTGCATTGTGTTTATGCTAATGAACACAAGGGGGGAAAATAAGTAAAAGAATGTTCAGATTTTCTAATAACATTTGCAGTTTTCCAAATGTACATACATACATTAACTATAGGGAACGAACAAGAAAATTCAATTTCCTGTCATAAATTCATGATTTAAAAAGAAAAAAAATACCCATAAATGCAGATTACATTTCATACGCATTTTTACAATTCAAATAATTTCATAGTCAGCTTAACCTCTCCCACTAATTGACAAATGAACAGGCCAGACCAATATTTTCATAACCACTAAATCAGCACTTCAAATATGCTGTCAGACCTTCCATTGGTGCAAAATAACATTTAAAAGGGACGAAAATAATCATATCCACAAAAAAAAAGCTAAATATACCCTCAATTTTGAGCCTTGTTGCCATCACGCCACGCACAAAGACTTGCAAAAATAAACACTGACCCTCAATTATTCCTATCACTCAAACTGACGTTTCTATATCAAACCATTTGCAATATTTGTGGCCTCAAAAAAATTTGTACATCGAATAAGGCGTTTATATTTGATGAGAGTGGAATGTAAGGCAAAATTATACATAAATACAAAAAAAAAAAAGTAATTTGGTAATTTTTAGGTTCAAAAAGACACCCGACACCCAATCATCTTTTGCTGCACCATGGCCAAGAGATTAGCGTAACTGATGGAAAAAAGGCTTGCACTTGTTCAGTCTATAAACACAGTCTCTTTGTCACAACTGTAGTCGGACCACATTGGGAAATTTCCAGTTTACGGTTTAAAAAGTCAGTGGGATAAATGGAGCAGGGGTGAAAAAAAAATCCAAAACTTGAATTGTTCTAGAAAGACTACAAAAAAAACATGTTATTACATAGTGCCAAGAAATCAGTCTGATATCAGCTTGCTTATTTTGTGGAACAGAGGGACAGCAGTTCTAGGTAAAGCGACGTTAAGAGGGACCCTCAATATAGAAAAAGCAGGATGTTCTCTGTAGCACTTTGACATAATATTCATTTCCCTTAGTTTAATACTTAACAGATCCTTAGCAAATATTCCTTCAGTTTATGAAAATGTCATGGGGGGGGGGATTTTAAAGAGAACCCTGAGTACCTTCAGAAGAAAGCTTAGTAAGTTCTTAAAACCATGCATTTATTAAAGAAAGATGCATGTTTCAGGGGGAGAAATGTCCAATCATGTGTAATCAAAAAGAAAATCTTTTAAAAAGTTATTTTATTTGAAATTATTTAAATACAAATAATATATATTTTCCATTTACAATGACTTTTCTTGTAAACAAAAGTGGCAGATACTATTTACTAGGCAATTCACCCCTTTTTCTGGCCAGTGAGTTTCTCTGTGTGTGTATGAAGAGATGATTTCTCATAATCTTCGCACTTTAGTCTCAGCTTTCAGAACACAGCATGAATTATGAGGCTACAATCTTTTTTAGAACTATAATACTAAAATGTCTATTTATCTGTAAAACTGTTATAATTTTATAAAACTGGTTGAGAATGTGTTACATGCAACCAGAATGACACTTTCCCTCTGTCAGTAAAGATTGCATTGTGTTTATGCTAATGAACACAAGGGGGGAAAATAAGTAAAAGAATGTTCAGATTTTCTAATAACATTTGCAGTTTTCCAAATGTACATACATACATTAACTATAGGGAACGAACAAGAAAATTCAATTTCCTGTCATAAATTCATGATTTAAAAAGAAAAAAAATACCCATAAATGCAGATTACATTTCATACGCATTTTTACAATTCAAATAATTTCATAGTCAGCTTAACCTCTCCCACTAATTGACAAATGAACAGGCCAGACCAATATTTTCATAACCACTAAATCAGCACTTCAAATATGCTGTCAGACCTTCCATTGGTGCAAAATAACATTTAAAAGGGACGAAAATAATCATATCCACAAAAAAAAAGCTAAATATACCCTCAATTTTGAGCCTTGTTGCCATCACGCCACGCACAAAGACTTGCAAAAATAAACACTGACCCTCAATTATTCCTATCACTCAAACTGACGTTTCTATATCAAACCATTTGCAATATTTGTGGCCTCAAAAAAATTTGTACATCGAATAAGGCGTTTATATTTGATGAGAGTGGAATGTAAGGCAAAATTATACATAAATACAAAAAAAAAAAAGTAATTTGGTAATTTTTAGGTTCAAAAAGACACCCGACACCCAATCATCTTTTGCTGCACCATGGCCAAGAGATTAGCGTAACTGATGGAAAAAAGGCTTGCACTTGTTCAGTCTATAAACACAGTCTCTTTGTCACAACTGTAGTCGGACCACATTGGGAAATTTCCAGTTTACGGTTTAAAAAGTCAGTGGGATAAATGGAGCAGGGGTGAAAAAAAAATCCAAAACTTGAATTGTTCTAGAAAGACTACAAAAAAAACATGTTATTACATAGTGCCAAGAAATCAGTCTGATATCAGCTTGCTTATTTTGTGGAACAGAGGGACAGCAGTTCTAGGTAAAGCGACGTTAAGAGTTAAATCAGGACCAAATCAAAGACCTGGCTGTGGAATGTCTGCAGTCTTTTTTTTGTGAGGCTGAGACAACCTGTGCTTGTGAAGAGAAGCTGGAAGTTGTTACAATAGGTGAGATTTATAAATTTATTGGACTTCCACACTTCATGACCATGAAGACGACTTGAGATGCAACCCACAGCGGTGCAAGTACCCTTCACCCCATAATTCCTGCTCAAACTCAGAACGCACATCCACATCCTTGTGGTTCATGCTCACTCCAGATTACACATCACACAGCCTCGTAAAAAGTGGAAACACCTGGTAAATCTGATATCTAATAATCTACATAAAACTACAAAATGATAAGGTAGAAAACACCCTTGAAGCATAAACAGTGATATTGAAAAATGACAGTCATGAGGTGTGTGATTTTGCAGAGGTACTCTGGGTTTTATTTTTCCGATGCATTGGTTGGTCAGACATCTTTTTCGTCAAGCGGAGAGGAATCTGAAACACAGCTGGACCCCACAAATAACCACTGTCACAGCCCACCGATAACGACTGGATGAACGCAGGAAAAGATAACCAACAGTTCCTTATTTTGATTGGAGGACAGATTTGTGATTCATGAGTGTTTTAAACAGGAACATGGGGCGTCAACGTCCTTGTCTCCTGTTTGCCTCCGGTGTGTGGCGGCCCAGAAGACGTCAATGGTCTGGGGCTATGTGGGTGTATAGGAGCGTGTGTGTGTGTGTGTGTGTGTGTGTGTGTGTGTGTGCGCGCGCGCCTCACACATGGGGTTATTACTGTTAGCTAAAACTAAAACTATTAAAATCAATTTGGTTATTTGAAATAAATCTGAAATCAAATAAAATAAATATACATGAAAAACGTAATCCTAAACATAAATTAGAAATGTTGCCTTGACAACTAACTGACAAAAGTTTAAGTTTAAGCAATAAAATTACTAACTGGAAATAAAAAACAAGAGCGAAAACTAAAAATGAAATAAACCTAATAATGAAACCGAAATAGAAACATAAAAAAAAAAATTTAAACATTAACAAAAACACTGAAATTACACTGCTTACAAATCAAATATCACTATGATTTGCAAGCACAATTTACTTTACGCAAAAGGTTGTCTAGCCAGTAAAAATATTTTTGAGCAAGTTTCCACAAATTTCCACGACTTTAAGATTTTAAGTCACTTCCATGCCCAGAAATCCTGTAAAATTAAAATTCCACTCCACTGAGCACCACAATGTCACCCTTTCCCGAATAAAAAAAAAGGTGTGGTAGAGCACAAACAGGTGGTTGTCGCCTCACCTCCTCGATGTCTTTGAGTGTGCAGACGTGGTTGGGCATAGACACCAGAGTCTGTTCCTTCCTATCTGCAATGTAGAGCCACCACCACTCCTGCTTCTCCTCAGGGAAGTACAAGCTGTAGACAGGATGTGTGACCTTAGACTTGGTCTCCAATAGTGCCCTTTCACGGCGCTGAATGCTCTGTTGTAGTGCCTCCCATTCCTACAGAAGAAGACATGCTGGTTGTGGAAAGCTGCACTGCAATAACTACCATCAGCAGTCACTTGTCCAAAGGATATGACACGCACCTCCTCGTCATCTCCGGCAATCTCGTCCACCTCAGTGTCACTCTGCTTGTCACTCTCCTCATCTCTCTCGCTGGG